GGGCAGCATTTGCATAGGAAGAAAGGTAGGCAGGAATGCATAGGCAAGAAGGACACAGGGAAAGGATAACCATAGGGAGGAAGTGGGAAGTGAGATGTTAGTGCAGGGAGTGTAACAAATGTCACAAAACAAAATGAGTATGAACTGCTGAACATAACATAAATCTAAAATTTCACCCAAATCACAAGTTGAAAAAAAAACCCGCAGACCATCCCCCAGAGCTAGTGTCCTGCATTCAGACTTCTAGGTTCCTAAACTGTCAGAAAATAAATTTGTTTGCTAAAGCTATCCACTTGTGGTAATTCTGTTACAGCAGCATTAAATACTAAGACGCCCAGTTTCTTTCCTTTGATTAAAAATGTCCCTTTTGTACTTTTACACTCCCTTACTAATCCTTTGAGGCCTCGTTCATACACTAATTATGGTTTCTTCTAATGAAGGACTGAGAGTTCTTTGAATTCATGTGACTTTTTTTTACCACTGATTGACAGAAGTACTGATTTGCTTGTTTTTTCCTCAACACTTGCTCAATGTCTAGCACATGGTGTGCACTTTTTATTGACTGTAATAACTTGCCCTAATGTAGGTTAAAGTTAGGATGTATTTCACCAAGAAAAGTCTTGCAGGTGTAAGATTAGGAGAAGCAGAGAGGAGCAGAATGGAAATGTGTGCATAAGGGGAGTTATCGTGTGCACCAGGCACAGACTGCTGATTTTTAAAGTGTTGTTTGTTATGTACTGTCGAGTCAGATCCAACTCATAGCAACCCCTCCTTGGGTTTCTGAGGCAGTATCACTACAGAAGTAGATTGCCCAACCTTCCTTCCTTCCAAGGAGTGGCTGGTGGGTTTGAACTGCCAGCCTTCTTGTTAGCAGTCAAGTGCCTTAGGCTCTACGCTGTCAGAGCTCCTTTTCAAGTGTTAGGATGCAAAATATTTAGTAGTAAAAATATTAAATTGACTAGTTAAATGGTACTTTATGTTTGTTTTAGTGTACCCATTATGAAAATTATTGTCAACAGTGCAGGAAAAAAACAAAAACCTGTTTGGTTTATTTTAGTTTTCTGGTTGTTGAGATTCTGTGTAAACAGGCCTTTCTATTCCTTTTTTTCTGCTTGTGTTTGTAGTGATTAAAGCAAACAAGATCTCCTTCAAAAGGAATCTTGACTTAGTGGCAAATATACTTGATTTAGTATATTTGAATCAGAAGACTGGGATTCAAGTACCAACAAACTTGCTAATCCTAGAGCCAAGATCAACCCTGGCTATCACAGAATTGCTTTAAACATAAAATATAGTGAAGTATTATGAACTATGCAACATTATGTAAATGTGTAGGATGGTTATTATTCCCCTGATGTTTACAGAACTAGAGTGTAGGACTTGGAGAGGCCCTTAGACACATCCAGTCCGTGAGAAAGGCAGTGTGGTATAGTGAGATGAACACAGGTTCTGGAATTAGATTGACTTAGGTTGGAATTCTAGCCAGATATTGTGTTCTACCTTTTACCTTGAACAAGATAATTGAGCCTCTGTTTTTGCTGTGATACATGGGGATCATAGTAGCTATCTCCCAAGGTTGTGAGGATTAAATAATATATGAACAGTACACAGTAGGTGCTTAATAAATATCAGAATCCCTTCCCTTCATCAGTTGTGTTGGCTTTCCCTCTCAGACTGAGACTCCTTATCTCTTAGGCATAATATCTTGCCTCTAGATTCTGGAGGTTGATCCCTCTGGAGGAGCAGAAGTAAGGAAGGGATACTTGTCCAGTCTTGGTTTACATTAGTCTAATTGGTTGGACCTTCCTGCCCAGGGTGCCCTAACAGTAGGCACAGTTGCCCCAATAGACCTTAAGGAGTTGGCCGTTTTAAGAAGCATCTGGAGCTGTTGCTTAGTGATCTGACCAGAGTCCAGATAAGGGTAAGGCTATAACAGAAGAAAAACGGCTGCCAAGGTCCCACAGTTTACTCTCTACCTGAGCATGTGGAGGGGCCTGCCAGACCTCAGCTCTTGGCTTGGTCCCAAAGAAAAGATTATTAGAGCATGAAGGCTGGATCAGCTCATTCAGATAAAAGCCACAGGTGAGACAGGCCTTTCAAGGGACAGGACCTCTGTGCTGAAGGCTTACAATACACCTCTGTTGCCTTTATTTCAGTTCACTACCTCCTATTCTAGCCACAGAGTTACTCCTCCCTTGTTGACTGTTTTCAAACAACACCTGCTCTCTTAGAAGCCTGACCACTGATAACTCACTATTGTTGTTATGTGCCATCGAGTCGGACCAGGCTCATAGCGACCCCTCCTTGGGTTTCCGAGGCAGTATCACTATGGAGGGAGCTCTGGAAGCATAGTGACTAAGGCACTTGACTGCTAACCAGAAGGCTGGCGTTTCAAACCCACCGGCCACTCCTCGGAAGGAAGATGGGGCAATCTACTTCCATAGTGATACTGCCTTGGAAACCCAAGGAGGGGTCACTATGAGTCGGGTCTGACTCGATGGCACACAACAACAACAACAACATCACTACGGAAGTAGATTGCCCAACCTTCCTTCCGAGGGGTGACTGGTGGGTTTGAACTGCCAACCTTCTGGTTAGCAGTGAAGTGCCTTAGGCACTATGCTACCAGAACACCTTACTCACCATTATAATACCTAATTTCCTTTGTTTTTTCTATCCCTTATGATTTATTTCTTCACATTGTTAACCCTGCCAACTACATCACACTATTAAAGCTAGTCCCATCTCTGGACTATAGGATCCAGAAACCCTCTGACTTTCCCCAAATCTCCCCAAGCAGTGTGTTCTAGCAGAAAAAGCCAGAAAGACATGGTAATGGGTCCCAGCCCCCTCTTCTTAGCCATATTTGTACAAAATACTTAAACTCCCTGAGTGTCTGTTTCCTACTCTCTAAAATGAGCAAATAATCTGACAAGCTGTACTATATGAAGAAGAATGGTAGCGTCAGGATTGGAGCAGACTAAAACCTGCCATATGCAGATGACACAACGTTGCTTGCTGGAAGCAAAGAGGACTTGAAGCATTTACTGATGAAGATCAAAGACAAAAGCCATCAGTATGGATTACACCGCAACATAAAGAAAACAAAAATCCTCACAACTGGACCAATAAGCAACATTATGATACATAGAGAAAAAACTGAAGTGTTAAAGATTTCATTTTACTTGGATCCACAATCCATATCCATGGAAACAGCAGTCAAGAAATCAAACAGTGTATATTGTGCTGGGCAAATCTGCATAAGACCTCTTGAAAGCATTAAAAGCAAAGTTGTCACTTTGAGGACTAAGGTACACCTGACCCAAGCCATGATATTTTCAATCACCTCATGTACATGCAAAAGCTGGACAATGAATAAATAAGACTGAAGAAGAATTGATGCATTTGAATTGTGATGTTGGTGAAGAATATTGAATGTACCAGAACTGCAAGAAGAATGAACAAATCTGTCTTGGACGAAGCACAGACAGAATGTTCCTTGAAATTGAGGATGGTGAGACTGTCTCACATATTTTGGACATGTTATCAGGAGGGACTAGTCCCTGGAGAAGGACATCATGCTTGGTAAAGTAGAGGGTCAGCGAAAAAGACCCTCAATGAGATGAAGTAACACAGTGACTGCAACAATGGGCTCAAACAGCAATGATTGTGAGGATGGCCCAGGACCAAACAGTGTTTCTGTTTTTCATGGCATCACTATGGTTTGAAATTTGACAGCAATTAACAACAAAATGGGTTAATAAGACTGGCCTCAAGAGTTGTAGTACCAATTAAATGAAATAAAGTCATTTATTTGGCAAAGCCAGGAATTTAAAGTAGGAGTTCAGCAAATACTGATCGCATCCACTCCCCTTTCCCAAAGTAGTGCTTTTTACCTTAAATCCTTTTTGAAACAGGCGCCATAATAAGTAAACTAGCAAGAAAAACCAAAAGGTCAGTGGTTCAAACCTACCAGCTGCTCCATGGAAGAAAGATGAGGCAGTCTGCTTCCATAAAGATTTACAGCCTCGGAAACCCAATGAGGGTCCTTATGAGTTGGAATGGACTCGATGGCAGTGAGGTGTTTTTTTTTTTTTTTTTAAATCCTTTAAAGAACTCAAAGCTAGATGGTATTTTTAAGATAATATGTAGGATAAGACTCTTAAGCCTTGGGAACTGGAATTGGCCTAAAGAAAGCTGAGGTCAGGTTAGTAAAAGTAGTCCATGTTGAGCGGTTGTTGTTGTTGTTGTTATGTGCCGTTGAGTCGGCCCGACTCATAGCGACCCCTCCTTGGGTTTCCGAGGCAGTATCACTACGGAAGTAGGATTGCCCAACCTTCCTTCCGAGGAGTGGCTGGTGGGTAGAAGGGCAATAACAATCTCTTTCTTTCCACTGTGTGTGTCACCAAAGTGAGGGCTGAAGCAGCTCAAATGCTCCACATGCAGGAGGAAGCTGTAGGATGATGGGGAGGGTCCCCACAAAGGTTGGAGCCTTGTCAGCCTTTCTCCAGCACCGGAAACCACAGGAAATCAGGTCAGTGCATGGGGCCTACTCCCCCTGCTCCTGGCTTGGTTGAGTCTGGGACTTCCTGAGCAGGCGGTATTGATGAGTGAGTCCTAGCAACTGGAGGCTCCTTTGGCCTGGAGCCCTTTGCTCAGAATAGCTGGAACTAGCTGGAGGGTAGAGAGAAAGTGGGGCTGTAGTCCTTAGAGTCAGTCTTATGGGGAGTCCAGGTATAGAGGCATGTGAGGTTTAAATGTGTTCTATAGAGCTTGTTTTTGTTTTTTCTGCCCAACTCTAAATGATGCCTCAGTCACCTCTGTATCCCCAGTACTCGGTGCACAGTAGTGCACAAGTCCATGGGATACTCAGGTCCAAGAGTGTTAATGGGCAGGTCGGATCTGCAGGGAGTTTCAGGAGTAGGAGGGGTTAAGAAATGGGTGCAGCCTGCCACACCTCCACCCCCCCCCCTCCACTCTGGTGTTGGCGTCTTTTCCTGATACTTCTCTGCCACAGCAGAAACCTTTACCTTTCTGGAGAGGGCAGTAGAATTTTTCTGGGGGCAAAGATCCTTCAGACCCTCACTGGGAGGAGAAGGAATGTAGCCTGCCTCGCTGGTTAGAATCAAGGAGGAACTCTGGGGCAGGGTGGGGCTGGGGCAGGCGGAGGCTGTGCTCCCGCTGGCACTGCTCACTGCTCACTTCATTGCTGCAGCACGGCAAGGCCCTGCCACCCCCCTTCAGGCCGTGCAGTCATGTTCTGGGTGCCCTGATCCCACAAAAGCCCATGGGGAGCCCCAGATTGGAAGCCCTGCTCCTGCTGCTCTTTGGCCTCTCTGCCTCCACTGCCAGGACTGGCTGCCCATACCTGCCCTACTGGAGCACCCGTTGTCTGCTGGCCTCCCACATGGTAAGGTGCCTCTACCAGGTGGGGACACCTATCTGGCACTGGCTGGTCATGCTCCCCACTCTACTGCCTGCCTACCCTTTCCTACTTCCCCCGCCTCAGCGCTCTCGTGATCAGCCTCTGCGGTCCTCTACACAGTATCCAAGGAGTAGCCAAGGTCCTGGTTTGCTAAGGGCCTGAGATGTGTGGAGCTGGGAAGAAAAGAGCCAGGATTCTCAGAATTAAGTGATTTGAAGCAAAGACCCCAGGGAGAATGCTCCTTATAGGAATCCCTTCTAATAATACCTCTCCCCTTTCTTTTCTCTACTGGGTCCTGTACCTTCAGAATGACAGCTTCTCTGGTGAGTTTCATTCCCTGTCCTACTCCTCCTCCCCACACCTGCTTCTGTTCCAGATCCCCAGCAAACCCTCCATTCTAATTTTTGGTTCCTGGCCTAGGAAGTAGCATGGTTTTAAGGAAAAAGTATAGGATTTGGAATCAGAACAAGCCTGGATTTACACTGCTGTCCTATCACAAACTCCATGTGTGTTCTCAAGCAGTTTATTCGACCCCTCAGAGCCTTCATTCTGAGGAGTATAGCAGCATGGTAGAAATGATTGCCTGATGAAGAAGTGTTACTTTTGAGTTGTGGGGAGGATAAATCTCCAAGCACCCCATAAATGCTGGCTCTCCCCTTCACTGGTCCCTTTTTCCTATCACTAATACAAAGAGACGATAATCCTTTGTATATTATGGTGCTTTCCTTTACAAACTATGTTCCCACACATTATCTTACTTGATGTTTACAACAGCCCCACTTTATGAATGAGGAAGCCGAGGCTTCCAGAACTGCTGTAATTTGTCCAAGGTCCTACTTCCAGGTTTGGTAGAGCTGAGTATCAAATTCAGCTTGTCTTAGGCAGGTGAGACCTCGTTGGGCCATATAGTTGGATTTCCTTTTCATCTTTTACAGGAAGCTCTGCCCATACTCTTTGCCATACTCAGTTGGCCTTCCTCCTCTCCACAAAGCCCTGCTGTGCTCAGGTCCAGCACTGTCCCTGCTGGTTGTGCCTGCGGCTGATGTCAGATCCTTCAGGTATGAGAAATAGCCCTTGTCCTCCTCTTGTCAACCTCATCATGAACCTAGATCATCCTATTTGATTTAAAAAACATGCAACAACTCTGATATTCGTAAGTTCAGTTGTCTCATTTTGTGAAGGTGTTTTCTTGAAAATACCTGGTACCAATTCTTGGAATGAAAAATTTTCAGTTCTATGAATATTGCTACTATTACATTCTATTTGTAAAGTAGGACCCTCTTTCATGTTCAACTCTATATTTTCATTGCCTTGCTCAGTGCCAGGTACATACTAAATGTCTATACACAGCTTGTCCCTGGATGGTGCAAATGGTTAATGCACTCACCCGCTAACCCAAAGGTTGAAGGTTTGAGGTACTTTGAAAGAAAGGCTTGGTGATCTACTTCTGAAAAAATCAGCCATTGAAAACCATACAGAGCACAGGTCTGCTCTGACACACATAGGGTTGCCATGAGTCAGAGTTCACTTGAGAACTGTTTTGTTTATACACCGCTTAAGAATTCGAAGTTTCAGAAGGAAGGGCTGCTTATGCACAGGGAGACAGCTCAGGGGGCAGGAGAGTATGGAGGGATGGACACTGGGAAGAGGTAACTATGGGGAGGAAGTGGGAGGGGAGCTGTTGCATTGTAAATTTTGGTCAATGACATGAGACAAAGTATATTATGTGAACTGCTGTATGAAAAGTGAATTTACTCCGTAAATCTTCACCCAAATCAAAATAAAATTAAAAAAAAAAAAGAATTAGAAATTTCTAATTTTTCACCATTATAAATAATGCTATGTATTACTTTTTCTCTACTTAAGAAATTAATCCTCTTTTTATTATATTGCAACTTTTGAGATTAAATAAGCTTAATCTTTGGCATCATTTTCCTCCTTGACCTAAAATGATTTACTATCTAACACTAGGGTACATCTCCAGGTAGGGGAGGGGGTAAGGGGGGATGGGTAATAAGTGTGTCTTCCTCCCTTACACAGGCCTTCAGCAGAGCTGGTTCCATTTCCTAGTGTGGAAATTCAAAAAGTCTTACAGGCTCAAGTTCTATAGGAGGCACAAGATGCCAACATCTGCTCAGGTACTCTCCCTGCTAGTTCCAGCCCAGCCCTGTGCCCTACAGCCCTTTCCCTTCTGGCCTCTTATTTTACTCTTCAGCCATGAGAGAGAGATGAGAAATGTGGAAAGGAACTACTTCCTTCTTCTGTCCATTACACAGTTAAGGAAACTGAGGTCAAAAGATGTTGAATAACTTGCCTGTGGTGCCCCAGGTCCGCAGGCAGGAATAGATGCCAAGTTTCCTGACGCCTTGACTAAGGATAAACTTTTTCTCTGCTTACAGAGGAAGCTTTTGAGTAGCTGTTGCCTATCTGAGAAGGATTACATCTCCATCCCCTCCCCAGATATCCCCCACAAGGGGCTGCGCTCTAAAAGGACCCAGCCTTCAGATCCAGAAGCAAAGGAAGGTCTCCCCAGGCTGGGCTCACAGAGATATGGAAGTAGGAATGGGATGTGGCAAGAGATGGGTTCTACCAAGTCGTGGTGCCTGTACTAACTCAGATCCTAAGGCCAAGAGACAAGGCCATGAGGTCCTCCTTCTCCCCAGGGCCCAAGTTCTCCTTTGATTTGCTGCCTGAGGCACGGATTGTTCGGGTGACCATTCCACCAGGCCCTGAGGTCAGTGTGCGTCTTTGTCACCAATGGGCATTGGAGTGCGAAGAGCTGAGCAGTCCCTTGGATACCCAGGTATGGAGTGTCATCCTCCTGCAAAAAGCTAGATCACACAATGCTGGAGTACAAGGGGCCTGCTTATTGTACAGATGAAGAAACCAAGGCCCAGGGAAGGTAGTTGCCCAAGACCTCACCATGAATGACTAGCAGAGAAATGAATATTGTATTTGCTTCCAATGAGAGGAACAATCAGTATGATTCAGAAAGCATTAAGAAGGCTTTTCAATTCCTCCATGAGGCTGGGAAAATGACAAAGTACTCACAGCTGTCTTGATACCCTTCCATCTCCCTCCCTTTTAACCTTTGTTCCTACCCCTTGAGATATCCCCCATTTTCTCAGCCCAAGCTCTGACATCCAACACCAACCTCTGGTTTTCACAGATGCTCCTGTACATAGTTGGTACATTTGCAGGAACTGATGATATACCCCTGGGGCCCTCAGCTCTCTTCATTTATAAAAGGGTGATGATAGCTTACAAAATCACTCCAGTGCTGGAATTTACTTAATTGAGTTGTTGGTTCTAGCACCTAGCAACCTGCCTGGCACACAGAAAGTGCTCCATAAATATCTATCTCTTTCTCTGTCTCCTTCTTCTATTGAGACTCCTAGAGAAAATGGTCAGACTACAAAGCATAGGTCCCCTGAGTAGAATTTCTCAGTGGCAGAAATAGGTCTCATATCAGGAACAGTAGGGTGTGTTGGCCAAGGACTCAGCTTCCTCTGCCACTGTCCTTTTTTAGTTGTCTGTGCTCTTTCTTAGGCATCTCTTCTTCTCTCCCTTTGCTGCTTTGTCAACAGGTAATTGTGTCTGGGGGCCACACTGTAGACCTGCATTATGAATTCCTTCTGCCCTGTCTGTGCATAGAGGTGAGCAAAGGAAAGGGTATGGGTTGTTGTTGGCTCCCCTGTGAGGCCCATCAGATATTGCAGTTGGGTAAGCATGTCTTCTGTAGGTCATGCTTAAAAAGGACCAGGGGTTACCAAGATGCTTGGGAAGACTGGTACCAACTTGGCTGTATGCCACACACTGGCTCTGAGATGGAAGGGTCATGCTGAACACAGGATATTCTTGGGGTGATGTCAACCTCAGTCCCACCCACATGCAGGTTTTCCCTTGTCCAGAATAGACAGCTGCCTTCACTGTGTGCTCTGGGGAGTCGAAGCAGGGATGTGTGGCCACTGCAGGGCTCCATATGTTCTGAAAATCTTTTCCCTACCACCTCTCCATGACAACCCTCCTCTTCTTACACAGTTAAGGTGCCTAGCATTAAGACTTCCTTGGATTAGACAGAAAGGTGCAGGGAGTCTTGTTACCTGGGAGGAGAGGAAAAAAAGAGTGTAGGCAGAGACCTGGAACAGGGTGGATATTTGGGGATTTGGTCAGTCCAGGCTAAGGACCAACACAGGGTACCCGGTACCTTGGGGATGGCTAAGAGTGGTGGCCAGGGATGCCCAAAGGGAAATCCAAAGAATGTGGATTTCTAGAGTCCCCTCGTTCTGGGCATGGGTTCTCCTCTCCAGAAGATGAGTCAGCCCCTCACTTGCTGTTTTGTCTCCTCTTCTCTGGAGTTTCTTCCTTCCTCAGATCAGGTACAAATCACCCTTCCCCACACTCCATATTGCTCCCAACTCAGTTCCCTGCCAGCTCGGGCAGTTTGCACCAGAGTCAGGTAAAGCTAGAATTAGCTTTAGGTCTGAGTGATATAGGTAAAGCCACTGACCCTGCCTGTTCCTTGTCAACCCCTCCACTAGGCATTCTACTTGCAAGAGGACACTGTAAGGCACAAAAAATGCCCCTTTCAGAGCTGGCCTGAAGCCTGTGAGTGCTGCTTCTATGCAATTTTATGCATGTACATGTTTCTGTCTCTCTCTCACACACACATGCACATGTGCACATACACACGTGCCCTTCACAATGGTGTTGGAGAATGTCCACAGAAGGCTTGCACATACTTTCCCCAGAGCCAACAGGGGTAAGGCAGTGGCCTAGTTACCATGTCTACCAGTCAGCCTGCTAATAAATCAGAGTATTGAACACTGTATTAGGCCCTGTGACAGACTGAGAAAACATGATACAGTAGGTGGTATCCTAAGAGGATGGGCTAGAAGACCTGGGTTCACATCCCAGCTCTGCCACTTGATCTTCCTTGAGCCTCAGTTTCCTCATCTGTAAAACAGGCGTAATGATCCTTGCCCTGCTTTACTTTCAAATTGTTTGTGAGGCTTAAATTAAATAAAGCTTGGTAATCTCTAAAGTACTATAGGTACCTTGGTGTCTTAAAATGGGAGAGACAGGACACTCAAATACAGCCAAGGAATAACACAAAATAGCTTGCAGTACAGGGTTATAATTGAGAGTTAGGCTATAGGGCAAGAACTTAGGAAAGGGACAAGACCTATGGAAGCTGTAGTGGGCAGAGAAGGTCTTGTAGGAAAGGTGGCACCTGAACTGGGGCTCAGGCTTTAGAAAGGAGATAAGGGAGGGAAAAGCATTCCTGGTTCTGGGAGGACAGAGATGTGAAGAGTTTGAGTTTGGGGAGCAGTCAAAATGGAAGCCTAGAAAGGAGAAGAGGTTGTTGTTGTTGTTGTTATGTGCCGTTGAGTCGGCCCCGACTCATAGCGACCCCTCCTTGGGTTTCTGAGGCGGTATCACTACGGAAGTAGATTGCCCAACCTTCCTTCCAAGGGGTGGCTGGGGGTTTGAACCACCAGCCTTCTGGTTAGCAGTCAAGTGCCTTAGGCACTATGCTATCAGAACTCCCAGGAGAAGAGATAACTGGATAGAAAAAATAATACAAGGGGACTGGAAAAGGGATGTCCATTTGTTGAGTACGCAGCTTGGCCAGGCACCATGCTGGGCACTTTCACAAATGTCGTCTGATGCCCTGGGCTGAGGCAGTGCTGAGGCCTCCCCAGGCTTCACCCTCTGACCTGCCCCTGCCTAGATGGCGCGGACTTCTGGAAGTCAGTGCATTTTACTGACTACAGCCAGCACAATCAGATGGTCATGGCCTTGACACTCCGCTGCCCACTTAAGTTGGAGGCCTCCCTCTGCCAGAGACAGGGCTTGCATGCCCTCTGTGAAGACCTCTCCAATGCCACGGCTCAAGAATCAGAAGGGGTAAGCACAGGCCTCCCAGGATCAGGCAGGCAGGACTGGGGCCCAGGGACCTCTCCTAACTAACTCCTCTCTTCCACTATAGTGGTATGTTTTGGAGAAGGTGGACCTGCACCCGCAGCTCTGCTTCAAGGTACAACCATGGGAGAGGAGGAATGGGTAGGAGTAGAGGGTGATGCCCACAATCCATCCCACGCTGACTCTCCACTCTTGTATTTCTCAGTTCTCTATTGCCAACAGTAGCCACATCGAATGCCCCCACAGGACTGGTGAGCCAATGAGTGAGCTCAGCTGGGACCCCCCTCTCACCATTTTGTTCTCACCCAACTGTGACCAAGCCAAACCCTAGCTTTACCCTGACTTCCCATCACCTGCAGCCCAGCTCCTATGAACTCCCATGAACAGGATATCTCATGTGATGCCCTCTCCCACTCCCCTGGGCAGCCCCATCCTGGAACGTGAGCATGGATACCCAGGCCCAGCAGCTGATACTTCACTTCTCCTCAAGGACGCATGCCACCTTCAGTGCTGCCTGGAGCCACCCAGGCTCAGGGCAGGACAGCTTTGTGCTCCCTGTGTACAACGTCAGCCAGGTATGGCCTAACCAGGGCTTGCCACCTCCCCCTCCACCAGGCCTTGCTGTTCAGAGCACAATCCCCAATCTCCTTGTCACCTCATTGAGACAGACCCTGGGTGGGTGGAGGCAGGCAAACCCCTGACTTTTATCACCTAGTTAATTTATTTACTTGATCAGCCTTTGTTCAACTGGCTTTTCTGTCAGAGGGATTTTCAGGGGAGCACTTTTTAAACTTCAGTTTCTGAACTTACATGTTAACCAGAGGGAAGGGACTGGCCTTCCCATATTCAGCTGTTCTCTGGCCTATCCAAACTGTTGCCCCATTTTATACTGACGCAGTACTTAAACCCAGCTGTCCTCTACCGCTGCTCTCCTACTTTACAAGGCACCTGTGTAGAAGCTCTCAGACTCTCTCCAGAGGCAGAGCCCCTAGAAGCCAGTGTGCTCTTTGCAGAATAGTGTAAACTACTGACAGACTTAATTCTATTATGTGGACCAAGAACATTTTCACTAATAGAGTCTCTTGTGTGTGTCTGATGTAAAAACTATAATCAGAGACACACAAAAAACCATAGCACCAAGCTAACTAAGCATGACTAGCTCTTTTTTTTTTTTTTTTTTAATTGTGATTTGGGTGAAAATTTACAGAGTAAATTCACTTTCCATACAGCAGTTCGTATACACTTTGTCTCATGACATTGACCACAGTTTACCACAATGCAACAGCTCCCCTCCTACTTCCTCCCGATAGTTACCTCTTCCCAGTGTCCATCCCTCCATGCACTCCTGCCCCCTGAACTGTCTCCCTGTGCATAAGCAGCCCTTCTTTCCCCCATGATTGTTCTCTCCAAGGAGTGTATCTACCTCAGGTAAATGTTCAACTCATATGCCTGTCTGTTGTTTGGCTGGAAGCCACAGGCATGGATGGGTTCAATTCCAGACCTGAAGGGCAGCTAGGGGCCATAGTCTCAGTGGTTCCACCAGGCTCTATCGGACCAGCAAACCTCATCCCACCCCCTTTTTTTTTTCTCCAAATGATTTTGAGTTTTGTACCACATTGTTCTCCCTCTCTATCCAGGATCTCCTACAGAGATCCCCTTCCAAGTGGTTGACAGTAGTACCCAGGCACCATCTAGTTCTTCTGGTCTCATAGTCATATAGGCTGCAGATCGGATGGTGTACCAGTCGCTAGGACTAAGTTTCCATGAGTTTTTGGTTTTTTTCATTCTTCTTTGCTCTGACTAGCTCTTTCTTAAATGCTCAATTGCAGCTTGTTTTGCATTCTGTCAGGGCTCCTAAACAGACCCACCCCATTACCATTGCCAGTGAGTTAATTCTGACTCATAGCAACCCTACAGGACAGAGTATAACTGCCCCATAGGGTTTCCAAGGCTTTAAGTCTTTACAGAAGCAGACTGCCACATATCTCTCCCAGAGAGTGGCTGGTAAGTTCAAACCACCAACCTTTTAGTTAGTAGCTGAGTGCTTACCTACTGTGCCACCAGGGCTCCTTCCCAAGCCGACAGGTTGTAGCAAATGCTTAAGATTTAAGACCAAGTCATGCTAAGATTTAAGACAGTCATGTGGGATAACCTAAAATTGAGAATGAAATTCATTAACTTATTTGTTTGTGTGATCTGGGAAAAGTCCACCTTTACTGAGTTCAATCATGAGTTGAGAGCCACTGTATCAGCACTACCAACAAGCTGGCTGGAGAATAGGGTCTGAGACATGAGTAAGAGATAGAGGACGGCAGGTGTCCCTGAAGGAGGGAGACTGGACAATTCCCTAACCAGCACCCAGAACACAGGAAAGAGCCACATCCTGCCCATGGACAGATGGCAATCAACTCTGTTCAATTCAACAAGCATTTAGAGTGCCTACTGTGTGCCTGGTAGCATAGTGCCTAAGGCACTTGACTGCTCACCAGAAGGCTGGCGGTTCAAACCCACCAGCCACTCCTCGGAAGGAAGGTTGGGCAATCCTACTTCCGTAGTGATCTGCCTCGGAAACCCAAGGAGGGGTCGCTATGAGTCGGGGCTGACTCGATGGCAAACAACAACAACAACTGTGTGCCCAGCGAGCTCTGGTGGTGTAGTGGCTAAGGCATTTGGCTGCTAACCAGAAGGTCAGCAGTTCAAACCCACCAGCTGCTTCATGGAAAGAAGATGGGGCGTCTGCTTCTGTAAAGATTTACAGCCTTGGAAACCCAGTGGGGATTGCTTTGAATCAGAACCAACCAAATCAATGAGTTTGATTTGGTTACTCTGTGTCCACCCTGTATTAGGCCCTGGGAGACACAAGAAAAGTCTATGACAATCTCTTTTGCTTTTAAGGAGTTCACAGCCTAATAATAGCTACTACCAATAAAGGAATGGGAGCTCTGGTGGCATAGTGCCTAAGGCATTTGACTGCTAACCTGAAGGCTGGCAGTTCAAACCCAACAGAAGAAAGGTTGGGCAATCTACTTCCATAGTGATATCGCCTCGGAAACCCAAGGATGGGTTGCTATGAGTCAGATCAGACTCAATGGCAGTGTGTTACATTGTTGTAATAAAGGAATATGCAGTGCACTGTTATTATTTGGAGTCCCTGGGTGGTACAAAAAGTTAACACACTTGGCTGGTAACTGAAAAGTTGGAAGTTTGAGTCTACCCAGAGGCACCTCAGAAGAAAGTCCTGGTGATCTACTTCTGAAAAATCAGGTATTGAAGACCCTGTGGAGCACAGCTCTACTCTGACACACATGGGGTCACCATGAGTTGGGATCTACTCCAAGCAACTGTTTTTTGGCTTTGTTTATTATTAAAGACTTTTACATGCATATTGCCATTTGATGCTCTCAATAATTCAGTAAACTAAGGATTTTTATCACCTATAAACAAGTGAAGGAGCCTTGGTGGCACAGTGGTTAAATTGCTCAGTTGGTAACCAAAAGGTCTGCAATTTGAACCCACCAGCCGTTCCATGGGAAAAAGACGAGGCAGTCTACTTCCATAAAGATTTACAGGCTTGGAAATCCTATGGGGCAGTTCTACTTTGTCCTATAGAATTGCTAGGAGTTGGAACAGTGGGTTTTGGTTACACAAGAGAAGAAACTGAGGCTCAGGAAATAACCCATATCCTTGCAAAAATTTAACACCCTAGAACCACAAAAGCTATAGTTAAGCCTGAACCTAGGTCTCCTGACTCCACAATTTGAACCCACCATTTCCAGTGCACAAGAAACCCCGTCAATTGTGCAGAACAGTGAACAAGGCAGCAATATAATTGGCCTCCCTGGTATGTGAGCTGCTGGAGAACAGGACCAATTTGTGCACCAGCCATCTGTCCCCAGGACTTGGCAAAGAATCAGCACTCAGAGAATGTTTGTTGATGACTCCTGATGGCCTGACTGATAAAGAATGTGTGTAGCAGGAATTCAGGTCTGGCAGAGATTAGCGGGACCTGATGTAGCCAGGGAAGGCTTCTTGTCCAAAGTGGCACTTCAGCTTAAGCCTGGTTAGGATTTGGAAGTTTTGAGGAGACAGGAAGAACAGCAGAGGCAAAGATTCAAAGGCTGGGTAGAGCTGGATTTGCCTCTGTGGAAATGGTCATTCTGCTCTTTGTTCTTACAGACCCAGGGCTCAAGCCCAGTGACAGTAGACCTCATCATTCCCTTCCTGAGGCCAGGGGGCTGTGTCCTGGTAAGGAATCCTGCCCTCATTCTACCCATGCTCCCCTAGCACATTCTCCTCCACAGGTGGCACACAGGATGAATCCAGTCTGCAGAAATGTTTGGTTTGACCAGCACAGTGTCTAAAACTGGAATTAGTTGCCACCATTTAGATAATGGGAGATGTTATATTAAAATACACACACAAACTGAATTTCTGGCTTCTCTTGAAAAATTAGAAAACTTGGTGCCCTGTTCTGGCACAGTGACAAGGAGCTTCATGCAGCTCAGTAGTGTAATGTCTGATTGCTTCAGTCAGGGCCTGTGCTTTCCAGGGCCTCGCTGTCACCCTGGCCAACTTCCAGTGTTATTTTATGAGTTTGGGCCTTGTGACACTTGAACCCCTGACCTGTTCTTTGCCAGGCCTTGAACAAACCCTGCATTTGGAGGAGTTAGCTATCCCATGGGGACTCCCTTTCTCTGCTCCTTCCCCTCATTCAACTCACTCTGGAAGGAGACACTTTGGCTCACAGAGGTGGGGGGCTCTGTGCTCTTAGGTGTGGCGGTCAGATGTCCAGTTTGCCTGGAAACACTTCTTGTGCCCAGAAGGTGAGTTTTGGGGAGGTGGAGGTTGAGGTGGGGGGGAATTCCCATAAGAGGGAGGATGGGCACTGAGGACCCCTGCTCAGCCAGCCTCATCCTGCTTAATTCAGTGCCCCATCGACGACTGGGGCTCTTGATCCTGGTACTGCTGGCCCTCACCATCCTACTGAGCATTGTTCTGGTCCTTACCCACCGCCGCCCACTGTCAAGTAAGTTTACTTGGAGGTAACCTGGGAATTCAGACCTGCTCAGCTCCTAGGTTAGCTGCCCCCCAACCTTCCCCGGCCAGAGCGAGTGGGGTCCGCAATCCATCCTGCATTGCACTTGCGGAGCCTGGGGCCCTGAGCCTCAATAAGAAACACATTTTTATCTAATTAGCCCAAAGGCACTGTATAGACAAGGGCTGTCTTGGTACTTATCCCCAGAGCAGATGAGGGGCTGGAGGCACCACATAGTAGCCCCGGGACCAGGACCCGGCAGGCTGGGCTCTCCTTAGCACCTCCCCATACTCCTCTGTTGGCAGCACCCGCAGGTGCCAGCGGAGCGAGGCCTGTGCTGCTTCTGCACACCACGGACTCAGAAGCACAGCGACGCCTGGCGGGAGCGCTGGCTGAACTGCTGCGCGCGGGGCTGGGCGGCGGGCGCGACGTGATCGTGGACCTGTGGGAGGGGGCGCGAGTGGCGCGCGTGGGTCCGCTGCCGTGGCTGTGGGCGGCACGGGCGCGGGTGGTGCGGGAGAGCGGCACCGTGCTGCTGCTGTGGAGCAGCGCCGCCTCCAGCCGGGTCCGTGACTCCGACCCTTGCGCCGCGCCCCTGCGCGCTCTGCTCCGCGCCGCCCCGCGCCCACTGCTGCTACTCGCTTACTTCAGTCGCCTCTGCGCCAAGGGCGACATCCCCGCGCCGCTGCGCGCCTTTCCGCGCTACCGCCTGCTGCGCGATCTGCCTCGCCTCTTGAGGGCCCTGGAGGCAGAGCCGTCGATTGGAGCCAAGAGTTGGGGCGGCCTCGGGGCCCGACGGTGCCTGCGGGGTCGCCTGGCGCTGTGCCGCCGGCTGGAACGCGAAGCGGCCAAACCTGCCAACCGAGGCTGAGCAGAGCTCCACCACGGGCTTAGAGGCCTGTGGCCGCAGCGCGTAGGGGCACTGGCTAGAACCCTGGAGGAAGCCTCGTATCCTGACTCTTGGGGCGTCTCTTGAGGACTAGTGCCCGAAATTTTTGCCTTATTCCCTGCCTTCCAACCTGGCGCCAAGCACCTCACTCACTGTCCCAGCCCGTCCCACACATTGACCCTACCAGTGTCCCACCTCCTTCTCACACACTGACCCAGCCTCTCCGGACTCTTGGGGAGAGAGCCACTCTACTGAGAATGCCTCTAACCCCGGTCCTAATGGAGGGAGGGAATCGCCCCACTTATCCAAAACTCCAGACAGAGCGGTTTGCATCGGTTTTAGTGCAAGCTAGAGAGGTTGGGGGCAGGGACAGGGCTATAGGAATTCTGAAGGGAGATATCCACAGGTGGGCAGGAGATAGCCCCCTTGGGGGGTAGGGATCCTCCTTTCCCAGGACCGGCCCTGTCCAGAGAGGGAGGGAGGACTCTGGACCCAGAGAAAGAGGCTTTGGATCTTGATGACCAGAGAACAAAGGTGGAAGAGTGGAGACCAGGAGCCACAAAGATGAATAAAAGCCAAAAGTGATAAACTAAGAAATGCAATGTGTTTCTCTAGTGTGGCTTGTATCGTGAGTGGGGAAGAGGGTCAGTGGCACCAAGGGGACTAGACTCTACCTGAGAGTTGTTGTGCACCAATTTGCTGAATCCTCTGCGTCTGCACTCAAATCACATCCACTTCTCTCACACATTCACAAATAATGCCTCGGAAAATAAGAAAATCCTCGCAGTGATGCCTCCAAACAAAGACAGAAGATTCTGAAAAGTGGAGTGTCCATTACCACTCTACCAGCCCATGGCAACACAAATAGGACCCCTGTCTGCCTACTTCAGGTCCTGGGTCCTCCCTCCTCAAACCACACTTGGGCTTAGTTCAGGCAGTGAAGAAAGCCCACTTTCCGTTGGCTCTTGCTCTTGCCTCTAGGGCCCCATCCCGCAAGGGAAGGAGCTATGTGACAGACCTGAAGTGCTTGGTAGGAGGGTCCCAGTGGGCTTCAGGATCTTAAGACCTGTATCTAAGGGTCACATGGGAAGCGGTATTGGCCCAGGAATGCCTAGGTCCTGGGGGCATACAGTCTGAGCCCTCCTCCTCTGGACTCCCAAGGTGAGTAAGAGATCCCTTACTCAGCCAAGATACGCCACTGCAGGGCTCCCCGCCCCCCAACCCCAGCTAGGTGTCAGCAGAGGAGCAGGAAAGGAGGAGGTGAGGCCACCACCCAGTCCAAGTCTGCTGGCTCACAAGCCTGGTGTTGGTGGGAGGGACAGGGCGGGGGCGGGAACAGCCAACTGCCTGCTGGGAGCCAAAACGAAAGCACTCCAACTGGGACTAGAACGGGAATCAGGACATCCAGGAGAGGGAGTGCAAAAGCCATCCAGGGCTGGGACCCCAGGACTGGGAAGGATTTCTGCGCCTGCTGCCCTCTGGCACCAGGCTGAGTGGAAGCAGGGGTGAAGGGTCTGCCCCCCCTTGGGGGGGCAGGACAGAGCCTCCAGCCAGGGTGCCTCGGCACCTGGAAGATGCCTATGCCTTGGTTCCTGCTGTCCTTGGCACTGGGCCCCAGCCCTGGTGTCCTCTCTCTGGAGAGGCTTGTGGGGCTTCAGAACACTGTTCACTGCTCTCCGGTGAGTCTGGGGCCTTGGGAGACTTGGAGAAGCTCAGGATTCATTCTGTGGCCCATCTCAGGCCTAGCGTGGCTTCAGTCACTGCTACCACCACCAGAACCGCCCTGGCTGGTCTATCTGGTACTGGAAGGAGTAGAGAAGAATGGGAGGAGTCTGTATTCTGGGAGGGGCTTGGAGCTGGGGGCCCTGAAAAGAGGTGGGAGGATGTCTCAGGCAGGGAAAGGTGATTGGATTTGGGGACATAAAATCTGATTCTCCTTTTCCTTCCTCCCAGGGCCTCTCCTGCCAACTCTGGGGTGAGTATCCTTACTATTAGAGAGAAAAGAACTTCTCAGGTTGGCAGAAGGGAAGGGAGCTATCCCACGCCCTCAATCACCCCCTTAGCCTAGGAACAACTCAAAGCTTCTTGGCCTTCTGGGGTATTGGATGCAGAACTCCAGGTTCTGAACAGCTTCAGCTCCCATCTCGCCCTTCCTGTACAGATGGTGATATGTTCTGTCTGCCTGGGACCATCGAGCCCACCCCTGGGCCTGTGCTGGTGCCTACTCGCCTACAGACAGAGCTGGTGCTGAGATGCTACCAAGAGACTGACTGTGACCTCTGTGTGCGTGTGGACGTCCACTTGGCTGTATATGGTGAGGAAGTCGACCTATGGCTGTGTGTATGCATATGGGAGCTTATCTGGGGCAGGCATGAGAACTGGGGGATCTGTCAGGCAGTGCTGGCCATCCTCAGTGGTCTCCCAGAGGTCACTACCCTAAGGACCCCCAGGCCAGTCTGGTCTCCCTGTCCACCCCCCAGGGCCCCAGGCCTATCTCTGTTTCTCAAAGTCAGCCCAGAGCAGGAGGCCTGACTGGGGCCTTGTTCTTGGGGCCTTGTAGGGCACTGGGGAGAGCCTGAAGATGAGGAAGAGTTTGGAGGAACAGCTGACCCAGGGCCTAGAAAGCCTAGCAATGGTGAGAAGAACCAAGTCAGCCCAACTGCCTCTTGCCAGGGCCTTGCCCACAGCTGCTGGGCCTGACCAATCCCTTGCCCTGTTGCTCACAGCTTCTCTGCAGTCCCAAGTCGTGCTATCCTTCCAGGCCTACCCTACTGCCCGCTGTGTCATACTGGAGGTGCAAGTGCCTTCCTCTCTCGTGCAGTCTGGTCAGTCTGTGGTATGTGAAATGATAATAATAACAATAATAACCACTGTCTAATAGGAAATCTATAAAGCACTTTCACACACATTAGCTCTTTAAGTCCTAATTCTGATATGTGCCTGTGGGTGAGCCCTTTCCGTCTTTTATGCCTCAATTTTCTTGCCTGTAAAGTGGAGAAAAGAATAGTCCTACCTCATGGTTATTGTGGGAATTAAACAAGTTGCTACACATAAAGAACCTGGTATAGTGCCCAGCACTGAAGATCTGTCATCAGTGAATTTAATGTTTTCTTTCTTTTGTAATCCTCAAAATCTCCCCACTATTACCTGCGTTTTCCAGGTAAAGAAACTGAGGCTCAGAGAGGGGAGGTCTGTGGGCTGGGTTGACTTCTCTGGACTCCTGGACTAATGCTCTGCCTGCCACACCGTTTATGTACCATGTTGGGGCTTCTCTCTGCTTCAGGAGACCAAACATGATTGGAAGATGTGTCTCCACTGAGGCTAAATCACTCAAACCCTTTGACTTCCTCTCCTGCTCCCAACCTTCAACCAATATCCTCTTATAGGAAAATTGGAGACTGGGAGACACTTGCTTGGGCCACTTCACAAAGCACTTATGAGGACCACTGAGGCACTGGATATGAGAACAACCTCTATGGGGAGGGGTGTCCCACATTTGCATTGGGGTGTCTGTCATGTTACTTTGACTAGGTGATCCAGGACAGAGAGGTGAGAATAGAGCTTCATATAGTCAGGGCCCTTATCCCTGCCCTGCTGACATCCCTATGGAGAATGTTTGCTTTAGAATTGGGGATCCTCAAAGGGAAATGTAATGGTGGGATTTCTAGCTGTACAGTGTAAATATAGGTGGGTGGGTGAGTGGGCAGGCAGGGGGGTCCATGCAGAGGTGCCACAGCCCTTGGCCTGGGTCCAGAGCCCCACACCACCAGCCTTCCCCAACCCCTCTCCTCACAGGGCTCAGTAGTATTTGACTGCTTCGAGGCTGCCCTAGGGGGTGAGGTGCAAATCTGGTCCTACACTCAGCCCAGATACCAGAAGGAACTCAACCTCACACAGCAGCTGCCTGGTAAGTGGCCCCAGAGCCTTGTGGCCCCAAGTTCTGGCCTCCCTAACCTCTCTCCCCTCGGGCCACCTCCTTCTGCTTTCCTTCTCCTCCTAGTCCCATCCACTCCCAGGCAGGGGTCTGAGCTCACATCACTCCAAAATCATTCCCTCCTGCCTTCTCGCCCCAGGTGACATGATTTTCCAGTGCCTGAGGAAGGTACTCTTGGCACTGGACGGATGTGGGTGGTATTTAGGGATCCCTTCCCAGTGGCCTCCATGGGTTGGAGCTCCCTCTTCCTTTCCTTGGCCCATTGGAGGCTTTTCTGTGATCTCTTCCCAGACTGCAGGGGGCTCGAATTCCGGGACAGCATCCAGAGCTGCTGGGGTAGGGGCTAGGGTCAGTGGGGGTGGGGGGAAGGGAGGGTCTGGCTCTAGAATGTAAGGGACCTTTGGAATTGACTCCATATCTGGGCTGCCTCATCCCAGAAGCTGGTGGAGCACATTCATTCATTTATTTATCAGACATGAGCTATAATAAAAACTCCTATCTGTGCCAGGTACTAGGAATATAAACATGGCTTTCTCACTCCTTATAACATATATTTATTAGTAATAGAGATATCTAGGGGATCTCTAAACCGAAAAAAAAAAAAAAAAAACCAAATTCACTGTCATCGAGTGGGATCTGACTCATAGAAACCCCTCCTTGAGTTTCTGAGGTGGTATCACTACAGAAGTAGATTGCACAATCTTCCTTCCAAGGAGTGGCTGGTGGGTTTGAACTGCAAATGGTTAATGTACTCTGCTGCTAACTCGGCAGTTCGAGTCTACCCAGAGGCACCTCAGAGGAAAGGCCTGGCAATTGAAGTATTAGCCATCGGAAATCCTATGGAGCACAGTTCTACTCTGACACACATGGGGTCACCGTGAGTTGAAGTTGACTCAATGGCAACTGGTTTTTTTTAGGGACATCTAGAGGCCCAAAGCACTGTCAACATTATGGTTCTGCTTCCTCTCCACATATAAAAATAAAAATAATATTAACCAGTAAATCAGTGGTGAAGAAAGCCAAGGTTTTGTATGCTTTTCCCATTATCATTATTTGGATTTTATTTTTGTTCATTTTTTTGTTTTTGTTTTTCCTTTTTTGTTGTACACACACAGTAAAGTGTGTAAAGTGCACTAATTGAAATGTCCAAGTTGATTATTTTTTGCATATGTATACACCTGTGTAACTACCACCCATGTCAAGATATAAACACTGTGATGTTTTTTAAAATACCAAGTTATTTCAACTTCATTTTCTTTTTGGTTCCTTAAACTTGGCTTTCTTCTTTAGTCATCAATTAAAGAATATTCAGCACCAGAGCTTGGAGGATACAGATACACGTCATGCATTTCATTTCATCATTCTTTCAGTAAACATCAATTCAACATATATTTAATGAGTAATTGCTGTATCTGAAATGTAGCTCTTGGCACTGGAGATGAATCAATAAAAGCTCACAAAAATCCTACCCTCACGGAGCTGACCTTCTATCTGGGAGTCAGGATGGAAGTGAGGGAGGACACAGTAAACACATGGAGTTTTAAGATATACTATCAGATGGGTGGTGATATGTGCTGTGGAGAAAATGTAGGGGTTAGAAGGTAGTTAGGAGTTGCAGGAGATCAGAGATGACCTCACTATAGTGAACAAAAACTGAAGGGATTAAAGGAGCAGCTATGTGGGTATCTGAGAGAAGAAGGTTCTATGCCCAAGGGTAAAAAACCAAAAAACCAAACTCATTGTCATTGAGTTAATTCTGACTCATACTGACCCCCATTGGGTTTCCAAGGCTGTAAATCATTACATAAGCAGACTGCCTCATCTTTCTTCTGCAGAGCAGCTGGTGGACTTAAACCACCAACCTTTTGGTTAGCAGCCAAATGCCTTAACCACTACACCACCAAAGCTCATCTATGCAGAGGGGATAGTCAGTGCAAAAGGCATAGACAGGAGTTTCTGCTGTGTTTAAGTAATAGTAAGGAGGCCAGTGTGTCTGCAGTACAGTTATGAAGGACAAGGACTAGGAGATGAAGTTAATGAAGACATGGCAGCCAGACTGGATAGGGCCTTGTGAGCCATTGTAAGGTGTCTGGCTGTTACTAGGAGTAATGTGGGGAGCCATTAGAGGCTTCTGAGCAGTGGGGGAGGATCCTTCTGGCTGCTGAGAAGAGAAAACAGCTGTCCCAAGATCACATCCTAGGGCCTTGATGGGCTCAGCCTTAGGCCAGCTTCTGGAGACAAAGTCTGTCCTGAGATGGGCTTACAGGCCTTGCCTTCTAAGGGTCTTAGAGGAAACATCAAAGTATCAGTGAGCAGGTGTGGTCTAGGCTTGGGTTTGCAGCAATGGTGAAGGAAGTCTAAGTACCCTGTCTGGCTTTGTCTCCCTCAGCAGTCCTACCCTGGCTCAACTTGTCTGCAGATGGTGACGACATGCGTGTGGTGCTGGATGTCTCTGAGGAGCAACACTTCATCCTTTCCCTCTACTGGGACCAGGTTGAGGGACCCCCAAGATCCAAGTGGCAAAGAAACATGGTGAGGGCCCCCTTTCAAGTCCATTCCTGCTAAAGATGTGAGTGCATTATCAAAAGGGACCTTTGAAGAGGACACGGAGACCCATGCCCAAAGCAAGGGAACTCTCGTGGGGGTATTTCAGATACCAGGTGACAAGCAGTAGGAAATTGCCACTCTGCCTGCCTGGGGCCCTTAACTTTGGCTTCCAGCCCTCTTCCTCCTCTTTAACATTTCCAACTTCCCTCCTTTTGCTTGTCCCATAGACTGGGCCACAGAACTTTACCTTGAACCACACAGAACTCGTTCCCTGCCTCTGCATTCAGGTAGGACTAGAGCCCAGCTGGTCCCCAGGGAAAGGGGAGTTGGTGAGGGTGGTATCCCCCATCTTCCTGGTCTCACCACCTTCTACACTCCTCTTGGAGATGGAAACTCTGGCCTCCTGGGGTGGGTGGACCTTCTTTGACCCCCACTCTCCCTCACCTCCTGCCTTTTATAGCCTAGAATGCAATTCCTGATCTTTCATCCACAGGACTCCATTATATATTTCGTGGATCACTCAAATGTCACCTCCTCTTTGAAACCTTCTCTTATTCCCTGGTTCCTTCTGTGTGTTCCCCTGGAAGGCAGAGCATGTGTTCTGGATTCAGACTGGTTTGATTCAGACTTTTGCAATTTGCTAGCTGTGTGACCTTGGATGAGTCACTTTACCTCTGTTAGCCTGTTTCTTATCTATAAAATGGGAATAATAGTTCATTCAGCCTGTTATAAGGAAGGGTACCATATCTGGGCTTACTTATGTTGACTCTTTTTTCTCTCTTCAATCAATTGCACATTTAATTGGTCACCAGATACCATCCATTTGACCTCTGACATTAAAGTCTCTTATTCTTTTCTCCCTTTTCCCCATCTCAGACCAGTTTGGGCCTCTACCATCTCTCCTTTAGACCATTTCAGTAACTTCTGGCCCCACCTCCCCTCCCAATGATTCCCTGGCCATCTGGGCTCCATACTCTGCCCTCAATTGAACTTTTCCATTATACCTTTCCCATGATTCCCCTTTAACACAGCTTTGTTACATCCAAATGGATGGCTACACCCACCTCTGTTCCCGCTACCTGAAATGCCCTTACCTCTTCTCCACACAACCAAATCTTCCCAGCTCAAATGTCACCTCTCTCCCAAAGCTTTTCCCCAACTGTCTGGCTTCTCCTTGCACTTATTCTGTCCTTGTCTATTTATTACTTCCTTTCTTACTTGGGCACTTGCCTCAGGTCTTGCACACACACACTGCTCAATGAATATTTCTGCAGTGAGTTTATTCATTTATATACATGTTTTATCCTTACTACCACTGTGAATTCCTTGAAGCGAAGAAATCACATCTAATTCAAATTTAGTAATTTCTCCCAGAGCCTTGCACAGTGCTTGGGACACAGTGGGTGCTAATTAAATATTTATTGAATGAATAAATGAATGAATCTCCACTGCTGAGCACAGTGATAGACACATAGGAGATGCTCGTGAAATGTTTGCTGTGATTTAAATGTCCTCATTGCCAAGCACAATGTCTACCACATTGCTCTCTTACTTAAAGGTTTGCTGAGTAAATTAATATATTATCTCTAGTGCTTAGCATAGGGCTGAGCACATAATAGGTACTGTTAAAAAGTTTATTGAACCCAAATCACAGTAGGAATTAAAAAGAAAAAAAAAAAGCTTACTGAAAGAATAAATCAATGTGTCCTCAGCACCTAGCACAGTGCCTGGGACATAGTAGATGTTCACAAAATGACTGTGGAATGAGTTATTGAATATCCTTGGTCCTTAGCATAGTGCTAAAATACATAGTAGGTACTCATTAATAGTATATTGAATGAAGATGTTGCTAGTGCCTGGCATAGTGCTTATTAAGGATTTGCTGGATAATAAATGTATGCCTCTATAGGGTCTTCAAAGGGCTGAAAGACTGGACAACCCAAACCAAACTCACTGCCATCCAGTGGATTGCAACTTATAGCAACCCCATTGGGTTTTCAAGGCTGTAATTCTTTACAGAAGTAGATTGCCTCATCTTCCTTCCGCTGCACTTTGACCCTCTGGTTAGCAGCCAAATGTCTTATCCACTACACCACCAGAGCTCCTTAAAAGACTGGACAAGTGCTGGTGAAATATCATTTGAATGAATGTGTCCCCCGTGCCTGCCAGAGGGCCTGGAACATGGTAGCTGCCCATGGAGGGTTGACTGGGTTGAAGTGACCGGAGGGGAACCCTGTTTCCTTTCCAGGTGTGGCCCCTGGAGCTCGATTCCATCAGGACCAACCTCTGCCCCTTCGGGGAGGGTGAGCAGCGGATGTGGGGTTGGGGCCTGGGGTCTGGGGTGAGAGCGGTGTGGGAGGACCGGGACCCCCGCAGTGACCCGTGTCCTCTCCCTGCAGACCCCCGCGCGCACCAGAATCTGTGGCGTGCCACCCGGCTGCGGCTGCTGTCCGGGCAGAGTTGGCGGCAGCGTTGGCAGCTGGATGCACCATGCGCGATATTCGCTGAGGCGACTCTGTGCTGGCGGGTGCCGGGCGGGGGCCCCTGCCAACCGCTGGTCCCGCCTCTGCCCCGGGAGAATGTCACTGTGAACGTGAGCTGGGCGGGGGCGGTGCCCGGGTGGGAGCAGAAAAGGGAGCCCCTCTTCCGCAGAAAGCCCTCGAGTTTCCTCTTTCCGCAGAAGGCCTTCGAGTTTGAGCTGAAGAGCCACCCCAACCTCTGTGTCCAGGTGAGAAGGGGCGGCGCCAGAGCCTCGGTCCGCCTGGGGCTGGTTTTGCACCATCCGCTAAAGAAGTCACTGCCCTCTGGAGGGCCCCTAGAACAAAGTGGTTGCAGGCTTCCTCTTTGCCAGTTTCGTGGGACCCTGGGCAAGTCACTTCACTTCTGCATGGCTCCTCATCTGTTTAATGGGGATGGTTGTTGTTATGTGCCGTGGAGTCTGAACTGATTCATAGCGACCCCTCCTTCGGTTTTCTGAGGCAGCATCACTAGGCTACCAGAGCTTCCAATGGGGATGGTAAAAGCAGCTCTTTCATAGAATGGCTTTGAGAATTAAATAAGAGAAATGCTTTGCCTTTGGGATGAGCACAGACTAAATACTCAGTAAATGCTTGTAGTATTGCTAACATTAGGAGCTCTGGTAGCATAGTGCCTAAGCCACTTGACTGCTAACCAGAAGGCTGGCGATTCAAAACCCACCAGCCACTCCTCAGAAGGAAGATGGGGCAATCTACTTCCATAGTGATACTGCCTCGGAAATCCAAGGAGGGGTCGCTATGAGTCGGGTCCGACTCGATGGCACGTAACAACAACATTGCTAACATTATCTTCCCCACCTGTGGAATGGGTTGCTCTACAACTTCAAAGGATGATTATAAAGGTTTTTATTTATTCAACAGATCTTTACTGAGCATTTACTATGTGCCAAGGATGACTATGTTTTAGGAACAGGGGATAGATACATCAGTGAAGAAAACTAATAACTGTCCCCACCATTATGAAGCTTATATTCTAATACAGAAAGGCAGACAATACACAATAAGCATAATAAATAAGTGAATTATACAGTATGATGTATAAATGAATTATGTTGTATAGAATTGTATACAAATGATGTGGGAAAGGGTAGGGAAGGATAAGAGATGATTGGGGTTGTAATTTTAAGTAGGGTGGTCAGGTGAGGCCTTTTTGAGAAGTTGGTTAGGTAAGAAATGAACATGTACTTTGTAGGACTTTAGGAACAGAAAGCCCTGTAGCACAGATGATCTCACAAGGTTGAAGTGAGAAGTGTGTAGTGACTTTTCTAATCACCCAGCATTGAACATTGAACCCAGATCCACCTAAGGTCAGGTCCAGACCCCAACCCAACAGGCTTCTTCTTGTCTTCTCTTCTGGTTTTTCTGGTCTTGGCCCTTGATTTCCCCAGTACCCCTAACCCTGTCCTCCTTTTGAGCAGGTGAGCAGCTGGGAGAAGCTGCAGCTGGAGGAGTGCTTGTGGGTTGGTGAGTGGGGGGGGGGGCTTTGGGGGAGGCTGGGGCAGACCATTGTATTAGGATTGAAGCATGGAGGTGCTGGCCCCTGGTGGTGAAGGTCAGAGCATGGGGAGGATGAATAAGTGGCAGCCCTGATCAGACTAAGGCTGGCCTCTCACCCCTTACAGATTCCCTAGGACCCCTCAAGGATGACATGCTGCTAGTGGAGACACAAGGCCCCCAGAACAACAGATCACTCTGTGCCTTGGAACACAGTGGCTGCACCCCACTTCCTAGCAAGGCCTCCACGGTGAGGGCTGTGAACCCTCTCTCTCTTCCACAGACCTCCAGTTCCATCTCAAACCTGGCCTTCAATGTTCCCTCCATCCATTTTCCCTCTGCTCTGTGCCGGGTTCTGTGCTGGTCTGTAGGGAGGTGGGGGTGACTCAGACCTGGACCTTCCCCTCAGTGGCAACTGGAGCCTGGTGGTCTCCTCAGAGTGCCACCTCCAGGTGACAGCCTTCTCTCTTGGCTTGGCAGAGGGCAGCTCGTCTTGGAGAGCAGCTACTAAGGGACCTGCAGTCAGGCCAATGTGAACGGGTGAGTAGGCAGCAATAGGCCTAAAACTCTGTCTTTGCCTCTTCCAGTCTCTCCCTACACATAGTAAAGCAAAGAACACCAGGGGAAACTCACTCTTCCTAAGCCTTCTTCTACCCATCCACCTACCATCTATTTGCACTTATTTGGTGTCCAGCCCAGGGGAGGTTATGGGTAGAATAAGCATAATTCCTCCCTCAAGGGGCTTACTGCTGCCTACTGTTTTTGTTGTGTGCTGACTAGTCGATTGACTCATAGCAACCCTATGTGAAAGAGTAGAACTGCCACATAGGATTTTCTAGGCTGTAATCTTTATGGAAGCAGATTGCCAGGTCTTTCTCCCATAAAACCACTAAGTGGGTTTGAACTGTCAAACTATCGTTTAGCAGCTGACCACTTAAATATTGGACCACCAAGGCTCTTTCACTAAAGATCAGTAAACAGTAAACCCACATGTGCTAAGTGGTGGGTTCCAGGGAAAGCTTCAAGGAAAGGCAGGCCAGCTTTGACATGGAACCCACATTCTGGGCAGCAGGCAAGGCATAAACAAAGGCAGAGCAGTTTGCAGGAACTTGCAGGGTAACAAGCATAGTTGAGGCTGGAAACTAGGATATCAGGTTGGCCAGAACTTACTGGGTGTTAAACCCCAACCTGGGGGTCTGTACTTGGTTCTGTGTCTTACAGCTGTGGAACAACAGTCTGGGAGTGCTGTGGGTGTGCCCCATGGACAAATGTGAGTATTATAAGAGCTGCCCTTCCTCTTTGTAACAGGAGCTTGAACCTTGTCAGGGACAAGGTTCCCCTGGGGACAGCACATGCATTGGCTTTCCCTTCCCTGGGCTCAGATAAACCAGAGGGATATTCTTCCTTCATTTAAAAAACATGGATGAGAGTGTGCGATCCAAGGATCATAAAAAAGATATAATCCCTGTCCTCACCACAACCCTTAGAAGGCTAGGGAGAAATTAGACCATCACTTACACTAAGTGTGAGCTACTGAAGCACTAGAACATGAAAGTGTCTAATGCTGTGAATGCCTATAATGGAAACTACCTAGGTGAGTTAAAGGGCTAAAGGGCTCAGGGCAAGGTTTGAGCTGAACTCCCCAGGCTGAGCTAAGTGAAGAGGGTTGTTGTTGTTAAAACCCAAAAGAAAAACAAAGTAACTCACTGTCTTTGAGCTGATTCAACTCATAAGGACCCTTCCCTGGGTTTCTGAGGTGGTATCTCTGCAGAAGTAGATTGCCCAATCTTCCTTTCAAGGAGTGGCTGGTGGGTTTGAACCACCAGCTTCTGGTTAGCAGTCAAATAGCTTAGGCACTGTTGTTAGGTGCCATCAAGTCAGTTCCAACTCTTAAAGACCCTCTATACAACAAAACAAAACATTGCTCAGTCCTGCACAATCATTGCCATGCTTGAGCCCATCATTGCAGTCACTATGTCAATCCATCTTTTATTTATTTTTTTTTATTGTGATTTGGGTGAAGGTTTACAGAGCAAATTCATTTCCATACGGTGGTTCACATATACTTTGTCTCATGACATTGACCACAATTTACCACAATGCAACAGCTCCCCTCCCACTTCCTACCTGTAGTTACCTCTTCCCAGTGTCCATCCCTCCATGCACTCCTGCCCCCTGAGCTGTCTCCCTATGCATAAGTAGTCCTTTCTTCCATGATTGTTCTCTCCAAGGGGTGTATCTACTTGAGGTAAATGTTCAACTCATATGCCTGTTTTTTGTTTGGCTGGAAACCACAGGTATGGGTTTAATTCCAGACCTGAAGGGCAGCTAGGGGCCATAGTCTCAGTGGTTCTACCAGGCTCTATTGGACCAGCAAACCTGGTACCCCCCCTTTTTTTTTTCTCCAAATGATTTTGATTTTGCTCCACATTGTTCTCCCTCTCTGTCAAGGGTCTCCTACATAGATCCCCTTCCAAGTGGATGACAGTGGTAGCCAGGCACCATCTAGTTCTTCTGGCCTCATAGTTGTATAAGCTGCAGATCAGATGGTGTACCAGTTGCTAGAACTAATTGTTTCCATGAATTTTGGTTTTCTTCATTCTTCTTTGCTCTGGATGAGGAGAGACCCATCGTTGCATCTAGATGGCAGCTTGCTAGCTTTTAAGATCCCAGTCACTACTTGCAAAAGTAGGAGGTGGAACAATGGTTTGTATAGTATGTTATGCCAATTGAGTTTGATGTCTCCTGCGGCTATGGTCCCAAGCCTGCAGGTTCAACTACTCGGTTCCTCTGGGTAGCTGGCTGTGACCAAGCTGTGACCACAACCTTGCCGCTTGTCAGCTCTATTATACACCTGGGAATTCTGATCATTCACATAAACTTATATGACCATTAACTGCCAACCCCATACATGTTCTTGGATACACTCCCCATTTCATAGACATACCTAATCATTCAGCCTGTCCACCCATCTATCCACCCATACACCCATGTTAGCCTTCACTGACAACGCAGTACTGTATGTACAAAAGGGTTCATATTTGTTGTCTCTACCTCCCATGTACCTCTCTATGTCTTTCACATCCTCAATGCTGCCATATTGGTCAGTCACATTTTGTACATTGCCCTTCTCTTCACTCAAATCAATATTTATCTCTATCTATCTAACAGCCTTCCCTATCCTACCCTCCCACCCCTGGTAACCAACAAAGAAAATTTCCTTCTATAGATAAAACTTTCCTTGACTTTTACAATAACGGACTAATACAATATTTGTCCTTCGGTGATTGACTTATTTCACTCAGCATAATGTCCTCCAAGTTCATCCACGTTATGCAGTGTTTTGTGTCAATCCATCTTGAGGGTCTTCTCCTTTTCTGTTGACCCTCTACTTTATCAAGCTTGATATCCTTCTCCAGGGATTGGTCTCTTCTGACATGACCAGTGAAAATAGCGGAGATACATTTTTGTGAAGTCTGTAGGGTGCTTTTTAAAGCAATTCCAAGGTGGCTAGCATGGCAGGAGTGTCTTGGGCAGGTCGTTGTCATGAGATGAGGATGCAGGGCTTTGGGGGCCAGTGTAGGGAATTTCGACTTTATGTTAAGCACACCAGGAGCTTCCCAAAAAGCTGTGATAATGGGACAGCTACAACCAAATCTTTATTTTTTGAAAGATCTCTGGAGCTAATATGTGATGAATGGATTTGGGGCAAAACACTTAGGCCAGAGACACCAGTTTGGAGGCCTTTGCAGGAGAGCAAGGTCAAGGCCCCAGCCACTTTAGGCTTAGAGGACAGCTGAAATAGTATCAGCTAACATTTGAGCACTGACTATGCCAGACACTGTGTTAAGTGTTGTGTGTGAATAATAGATTTAGTCCCCACCACCTTATGCAGTAGATTCTATTATTATCCCAATTTAACAGAGGTGGAGACTGAGGCAGAAGGTGAAGTCACTTATCGAGGGTAACCCAAATAGGTGCTTTCAACTGTGTTCATATCCTGGCTCTGCCACTTCTGTGAGGTGGACTTTGGACAAGTCACTTAGTTTCTCTGAAATGGGGTTTAAGTGTGAAGTCTCTTACTAGCCCAGCTTCTCCTTTGGGTCTACCAGATATCCACAAGCGCTGGGCCCTGGTGTGGCTGGCCTGCTTACTCTTTGTCGCTGTGCTGCTCCTCCTTTTCCTTCTCAAAAAGGACCACGTGAAAGGTGAGCCCTTTCATCCCCTTCCCCCTCAATGAGCAAGACCAGAGTTGGCTTGGGAGTTCCCTAGAGGCTGCAGGGCTGGCCTCACGGCTGCCTCTGCGCCTCTCCCCTAACAGAGTGGCTGCGGCTTTTGAAGAAGGACGTCCGCTGGGGGGGTGAGTGTCCGCAAAGGCCGGGCGGGGGGCCGCCCCAAACGGGCCAGGCTTCGGGCCATCTCACCGCTTCCCTTCCCCTGTGTTCTCTCTGACAGTGGCCACCAGAGGCCGCCGGGCTCTACTACTCTACTCCGCCGACGACACAGACTTCGAACGCTTAGTGGGCGTCCTAGCGTCGGCGCTGTGCCAGCTGCCGCTGCGCGTGGCCGTGGACCTGTGGAGACGTCGTGAACTGAGCGCGTATGGGCCCTTAGCTTGGTTCCATGCGCAGCGGCGCCAGACGCTGCAGGAGGGTGGTGTGGTGGTCCTACTCTTCTCACCCGGGGCCGTGGCGCTTTGTCGCGAGTGGCTGCAGGACGGAACGTCTGCACCAGGGGAACACGCCCAGGACGACGCCTTCGCCGCCTCGCTCAGTTGCTTGTTGCCCGACTTCCTGCAGGGCCGGGCACCCGGCCGCTACGTCGGGGCGTGCTTTGACAGGCTGCTCCCCCCGGACGCCGTGCCCTCCCTTTTCCATATGGTGCCTGTGTTCTCACTGCCCACACAGATGCTCGACTTCTTAGAGGCCCTGCAGGGGCCCCGCGCCCCCCGGCCTGAGCGGCTCAGGGAGAGGGCGGGGCACTTGTCCCAAGCCCTCCAGCAGGCTCTGGACAGCTGCTTTCCGCCTCCGGAGGTGACAGGGCGGTGATGTAGGATGGGACCTTAGGCGGAGGACAGGACTTGAATAAAGGCAAACGCTGTTTTTCTATTCATGGCTCCAACATTCGTCTCAGCTTCTCCGTGGCGAGAGTGGCAAACTGCGTCCAGTACCCCGCGGCCCTTTAAAGGCCAGGACAGGTGCAGCCTGGCACTGCTTCTGTTTGGCTAGGGTTGAGTGACGCAATGGCACATGGCCAACCGCCATTGGCTGGAGCGTCGGCTCCGCCCCGGACTGCGGCGCTGGAGGAGGTTGCACGTTTTACGCAGGCAGCGGCCGCGGCGGCGTTGAGGGGGCTGAAGCCATCGGCTTCCGCGGGCCGGGGAGGTGTCTCTTCCTACACCGCGGTCTACGCGGGTCCGGACCCTCCCGTGCCCGCCTTGGGCTGTGGCCTTAACTCCTGCGAGGCCCAGAACCTGAACCCCTCTCCCCATATCCGGATCCGAGCTCCTCCCCGCAATCCTGGGTTCCGGACTCCTCCCACAAGACCGCCCATCCGGCCTCCTCCTCTGATACTCGGAATTTGACCCCTTCTCCCTGACACTGCTGATCCTACCCCTAATAACCCATATTCAGAACCTAAAACTATGCGTTGATTCCTTGTCCCCTAATACCAAGGATCCAGGCCACCTCCCCCACGGTAACGTAGAAAACTTACTTCCCTCTTGATATTTCATATTAGCCATCTTTCCCTTAACTCCGCCGGCCGTACCTCAGTCTCGCCCCTTTTAAAAACGCAGATCTGGGCTTCCAGTCCCGCGACACCTTAGAATTGGCTTTTCTTTCTCATCTTGGGCCTAGTTCTGCCAGTGAACCCTCCCCACCCCCTTAACCACAGGTTCCCCAGCCTGGGAAAAGATGACTCCAGGGCCCCTGAGGGGCCTGGTCTCAGCTCTGCTTGGGGCCCTGAGCCTCTTCCTCAGCCTTCCAGGACCCGTCTGGCCCCAACCGTCTCCGCCTCCCCAGGCTTCTCCCCCTCCTGAGCCCCATCCCTGTCATACCTGCCGGGGACTGGTCGAGAGTTTCAACAAGGTGGGTGCGCCAGCAGCCTCTTGGGAGGGGGTCCCAGCTTCCACAGCACAGCAGGCAAGAGTGGGTACCTCTAGGAAGCAAATCTGCATGGATTCAAGTCCCATTTTGGCTACTTAATAGTTGTAGGGCTTTAGTCAGTTTGCCTCTCTGTGTCTCAGTTTTCTGTTCAATAAAATATTGTTATGTGCTGTTGAGCCGGACCCAACTCATAGCTACCCCTCCTTGGGTTTTGAAAGGGATATCGCTACAGAGTAGATTGCCCACTGTCCTTCGGAGGAGTGGCTGGTGGGTAATAAAATGTGTGAAGGTCTATAATGTATTAGACACTGTACTTAGCTATTACTAATTTCCTCTGTCTGCAGGGCCTGGAGAGAACTATCCGGGACAACTTTGGAGGTGGTAACACTGCCTGGGAGGAAGAGAAGTTGTCCAAATACAAAGATAGGTAAGGAGCTGGGGGTGGGGCCTGGGAAAGTTGTACACTCCACCTCCCAATCTCTGCCCTAGGGAGTCTTGAGGAGCACTTACTCATTTAACAGATAGTTAGTTACTGGACATATATAGTACTGCAGTGAGCAAGGTAAACAAAGCCCATCTTCATAGAGTTTACATTCGAGTAGGAAAAATAGTGAATAAACAAGTTATACAAAGTGAGAGACAGTCAAGCAGGGTAAGGACTACAGAACTAAAGGGAGGCATGGTGTTTTAGCTAACGTGTTCAAGGAAAGGCTTCTCTGAGATGGTGTGACATTGAAGCAGAGTCCTGAAGTGAAGAAGCAAGCTATGTGACAGTCAGGGAAGGGATTTAGACTGAACCTGGCATATTTGAGGATTGGCTGGAAGTAGAACGAGCAGAAGGGAGAGTGGTAGAAGATGAAGGCAGAGGCTAGGACCAGGTCAAATTGGCCTTTAAAGCTACAGAAAAAAAGTGTAGATTTTGTTGTGAGTATAGTGGGAAGCCATTGGAGGAGTTTGAGTAAGGAAATGATAGGGAACGGTGTGGTTTTTATATTTTTAAGAAGTCACAGTGTTACTTGGTGAACCAACTGTATGGGCCCAGGATGGAGAAAGAAGGCCAGTTGTGAGGCTATTCCATAGTCTAGGCATCAACTAGTATGGTTGCTAGTGGTGGACATGGTGAGAAGGGGTCAAATTCTGGGTATATTTTACAAGTAGAGCCAATAGAACTTGATGGTGGCTTTGTTATGAGATATAACAAGAAAGTAGAATAAAATATTGTACTAGTGTTTGGACCTGAGCAGCTGGGTGGATAGTGGGCATGTTTCCTGAAATGGGTAAGATTGGGAAGGGGAAGAAAAAGGGTCGGGGAGGAGTGTCAGGACTTCTCTTTGGATGTGGGTTGAGATGTCTACTAGACATCCAAGTGGAGTTAAATTTAGCTGTCTGGAGTTCAGGAGAGAAGTGGGAACTGGCGTTGTGAGTTTGGGAGTCATCAGCACACAGTCATTATTTAAAGCCACGGGGCAGGATGAGATTATATAGAGAGGGTGCTGAGAAGAGACCTAAGCTCTAGGCCCTCCAGCTTTTAGAAGTCAAGTTGAAGAGGAGTTAGCAAAGAGTTGAAGTTACACAGACTTGGTTGCCAGTTCTTTATATTATTATTATTACTTTAATTTTTGTTGTGATTTGGGTGAAAGTTTACAGAGCAAATTCATTTTCTGTACAGCAGTTCATACACATTTTTTTCATGACATTGACTGCAGTCCTCACAATGTAACAGCTCTCTTCCCACTTCCTCCCTCTGGTTACCTTTTCCCTGTGTCCTTCTTTTCTGTGCCCTCTGAACTATCTCCCTGTGTAAACACTGCCCGTCTCTTCTCCCATGAGTGATCATTCTAAGGAGTGTATCTACCTGGTGTAAATGTTCACCCTATATGCCTGTCTGTTGTTTAGCTGGAAGCCACGGGACTGAGTTCAATTCCAGGCCTTGTTGCCAGTTCTGATCCTCTAGCTTTCTGACCTAGGGCAGGACACTTAATCTCACTGAGCCTCAGTTTCTTCACCTGTAAAATGATATATTAATACCTGCTTTATCTGTTTTATAGGATTAAACTGTGATGCCTACTAGAAATGAAAGATTTTTTTAAATTCTGTGACATTGGTCATTTTCTTTTCCCACAATGAGTTCCAGTTTTCTCATTTGTGAATGAAGGGATTGGCCAAGATAACCCTATGAGTACCTCCAGCTCTATAACAGCTCTTTTTTTTTTTTTTTAAATCACCTCCTTCTTATATGCCAAGCATTTTGCCAAACTCTTATACATTGTATGTGTGTGTGTGTGTGTATGTGTATATATATATATACATATACATATATACATATATATATATTTGTTGTTGTTACATGCTGACGAGTCAGACCTGACTCATAGCAACCCCTCCTTGGGTTTCCGAGTCGGTATCACTATGGAAGTAGATTGCCCAACCTTCCTTCCGAGGAGTGGCTGGTGGCTTTGAACAGCCCACCTTTTGATAAATATATAT